GTTCTGGTAAACTACTAGCACATAACGTATGCAGTTTGCAACCAGCCTGGTTTTGATGCTACCTCAAGTTTTGTCATTGCTAACTTACTTCATGGCCTTCATCGTCAGCTTGTTGATGTTCCATTTACTTTGACATTTCTACCAACTTGGTAAGTTTCTTCCTCCATGAAAAAGCAGTTCTTGCGCAATCTCTTCTGCAAGCTTTCTTGGGGCTATGTTTATTAGACTCAGTTTTGATCCACAGGGCATTACTCTTTTGTACCAGACCAGACTTTGTGCTAACTCAATACAAACTTCACAGGTTTCCTACTCTGGTGCACTTGGTTATACTGATGGTTGAAGATGGCTCGTTTTATCATCAGATGCACTGGAAAGACTCTTCCATTGCTTCCATCAGAGATATACTGCCAATATGTGTGGTGTCTTCAGAGCCAGTAGGCCAAGCTGTCAACAGACTCTCTCACCAACAGCTGCCTCCAAGAGTTGCTCTTGCCTCAGGAAAAAAACCTCCAGTGAAGCTCCAGAACAAGGAAACCTTCATGTGTTTCTGAGACAAACGGAGCAGGTGTCTTCTCCAATGACAGAAGAGACTTCTGCACAACTGTCGCAGATGTAGTCAAGCACTTCGCTCACAAGACAGAAGTAGCAATATGTTTAAAACAGTGATTTAAAAAGCTTGATAATAAATGCAACAATAACTTGACAGGATTGCTGATTTACTGTGTAGAGGACAGGGCCAGACAGACCGTCAGGAAGGCCCTCCCGTTGAGTCATGAGGTTCAGAAAGGACTCCCTTGTTTTCTAAACTCCTCCTCAGAGAGGAGTCTGATATCATCAGAACAACAAGCTACTTGTATAAGAAAACCAGTAGTATTGTACTAGAATTGTAGTTAATAATTACAAGGTTGATTATACCTTGCTTTGAATTTTGGTCAAGATGACTTTGATTGATAATAAGGGATTTCTGAAGGGAGTAAGGGTATGTAAAGTCCTGGAAGTTGATGAGAACACCTGGAACTGATTGTGTTAAGCTACTGAGCATGGATGAGTTATATGACAACTTGGCAAAGCGGTCATTCAATTAATTAACTTGGACCCAACAATCTTCAAACCCCCCTTGCCACACCTACAAGACTGAACTGCGCAAACTCAAGACAAAGAGGTCATCCAGTGGACACCAGAGGACGACCACCGGGGGCCTTAAAAGACGCCAAAGGACCCTTGCCATAATTAAATGAGCATGCCTGGAGAGAAGGCACCATATGTAAATGATTTCAAGGAAAAGTAATGAATATACATCCTGATTCCAGCAATTACAATGAATATGTATTCAATTGTATCTATATAACCTGTTCAGGGTAACAGCTGGGTATGCATGCTAGGTGGAGCGATCCCCCGTGCATCTGGTGCCGCAATAAAGAATGCCTACTTTCTAAAATTCCAACTGAGTCTTAAGAGAGTTTCCTTACCGAGTTTTATGGTATCAAGTCTGGGTGCAGTTGGATCCAGACTTAGTCCCAGACTTGGCCAACGGTTTATGTCTAAGGAAAGAGGTACAAAGAGGAAGAAAAGCCTCCTGTTGAGTCACAAGGTTCAGAGTAGACCCTCTTGCTTTCTAAACTCTTTCTCAAAGAGTCTACGTATGGCTGGATCCACTCCTAGTCCCAGACTTGGTCGACAATTTGTAGCTAAAGAATTGTATGTGTACAATCAACCCTGTGTATCACTGTCATAGACACGGTTTTGGTTTAGCAGAAGTTTAGGATTTATTAATATTTTGCACAAGGTTAGGGTGTGTTATTCTTTACAGCACTTAGTCATTAGCCAATTTAACAGAGAGGTTCAGTGGAATTTGTTACAATCCAGACAGGGATTTTGTTAAAGATTTGAGAATGGCATGGTCACCAAGAAACTTGCAGCAGTGTTGCATACACAGATGGAGGTTAAATCAGGTAACACACACAGACAGACAGACAAGCAGTTCTGAGTCAAATTGCACATACACATACACTCATGGAGGTTAACTTGTGATCAGTATTTCCCCTTTCATGAATTTCATGAATTACTCACTTTACATGCCAGCATGTCAATGGACGGTCAGTGAACTGCACAAAATCAGGCCTTTGAGTCCTCGTGAAATCATCAATGGATGATATGCCAGTTCCTGCAGAATTTAGCCTGATAGGTATCCCAGTTCAGGGGAGATACTGGGTCACACAGCCCGCTGTGGTCCCCGACACTCAAAGGGCCTCACTTTGGATCGCTGTTTATAGAGTCTTGAGATGATTGCCTTTTGGTCAGTATTTTCCATTGTGGCCAGAACTGGTCCTGAGTGATTCTGGTATACCATTCAGGCCGAAGGCGGTCCAAGTGTGGCCAGGGAGTGCCTGACACCTCAGCCCCAGGCTACTGCACTTGTAGCCAAGATAAGAGCACAATAGAGGCTTATCCTGAGATCTGAGAGTGATAGCCCACGCTTGGACAGACATAGCCTGACACTTCAGCCCAAGATAACAGCACAATGGGAGCATGCAAGGCTTATCCTGAAATCTCAGAGTGGCCCAGGGGGCTGCACCACCACAATGACCAAGCAGGCACTATAAATGTTGAAGCTATTTCTCCTGTCTGAAAGGAAACAGAACAATCTACCCCAGCAATTTGGTGCAGCATGACCCTGTATAGATCTAGAAAGTTTCAGAGTCTTCCCATGTCCTTCTTTCCACTTTAATTTCAAGGAAGTCTTCTTAGGCAATTCCATTCCAAGTCACCATTTGTAATCTTAATCTGAACCAACAGTACAGGTACAATTTCATAGATTTGTGAATGTGATATACTACTTGATCGTGATGCAAGTTTTAAGCAAAATAGTTCAGTACTAGAGAAAATACTTGCCTCATTATGTAAAATCAAATCTTATTTTTAGATTCCACCTTATGTTCCCTTGTGATATGTTCCAATGGGCCTAAGTAGAAATTAATATAGGAAAAGAATCCAAACTTGGAGATTTCCATCCTGTGTTCTTTGAACTGCCTTTCTTTGTTTCTTTTAAACAGCAAACTCAACAAAATAGAATGCTAAAGAATGATGCTCCCATAAGACTTAAAGGAGTAGAATCATGGGAGGTTTCTGCTGAGCAAAGCTCAAGAATAGGGTTGCTGCAGCTTCTAAGCCTTCTACTTTTAAACATTTAGTAACTATACAACCTTTAAAGAAAAAAAAGCTTTCTTTTGACTTTACCATTGTAAGGCAGCATTAAGCAACCGGAACAGATGAGCACAAGATGAAAGATTGCTGTAGAAAACTGCACACATTATGATGTCTCAACTTTGCCAGTCAGTAAAAAAAAAAAAGTAGAACAATGCTCATTACACTTTTTCCTCAGTAGAAGGTAAAACAGTGCCACCCACTGCTTTTCCAGGGTAACCCCTTTTCTTTTGAGACAGCTGCCAAAAGCTCAAGTTGGTACTTTGCAATTACAAAATAGCCAGCTCAGATCAAGCCTTCCTCCCTCACTCCAACACTGGTGGGTTCTTCTATCAGGTTACACATCTACAGTGATATTTCATTCACTAGTAAAGTGCACAAAGGAAAAAAAGGTCTTCTTTGAACTTGCTTTACTACAGCTGAAGCCGCAGGATAGACAAAAGGCTGAATCACAGAAAAATAAGTGGTTTTCTACCCTGGGAGCAGGAGTTTGACTTTACACGTCAGTTTTCCACAGCCACTACTTGTATGCAACTCACAGCTTCCAGCTGAAGGCAATACCATATTGCACCACCTGTAAAGACTGTCTGCAGGGCCAGAATAGCCAACTAGTTTTTTTAGTATCTCTCCATTCATTTTGCATTATCTCTTTATCATACCAGAAAACAAGTATCACTCACTCACTTTTAAGCCAGGCCACAGGTCATTCTCTATAATCAACATGCCTACCCAGCAGTTTATCTTCTGTTCCTACATGGAACATTCTTTTAATTCAAAGACAAGCAGTCATCAGAAGTAGTAATACTCAAGCATTGCTAAGACAAAAAGAGCTCAAAGGACTTTTTACTTCAGTTAAAAAGAAACCAGTACTCAAGGACATCTTACTTACCTACATTATCCGCTGCTGGTGGAGAAAGTGGCAACTACAGTTCCTTCCAACATAGCAAAGTACCAATCAAGTAAGACCTCTACAACTACCTCACCTTCCATTAGCAAAATACTCTGTAAGCCAGTTTACAATAGGAAGCAAGATCCTCAGTTGCTCAGGCTGAAGAATGTGCAGGCAAGTATTTCAACAAGAGTCACGTATGATTCAGTACTCTCTCTTTAAAAACAAACTACTTGACTCTTAACAAGAACCCTGGAAAGTTCCACAAAGGTCAGTCATAGTGTACAGAACTGCATAAAACTCTAGACATGTTTAATTACCTCAAAACTAGATAGATTTTGTTGGTAAGTAAATATTCCTAAACAGTCCTTATATCTTGCATCTTACTAATCATAGACCCTACTCATGGTTTGGGCTTAGCTGTGGTCTACAAAAAACAGTCATAAGACATTCAATTATCAGCAATGAAAACATCAAGATGTCTACAGCTGAAATCAAGGTTCCAAGCTAAAGGGAAAACTGTAGGCTCCAAATGCATTTGAGAATTCTCCCTCTGGTTCCTGAGGTGACAGCTTAAAAATCATAATAGAATCTTTGGAAGTAAGTTTCATCATGTTTATACTATAGTTCGATAAATGTCTAAAAATTTCCCTTGCTACAAACTAAATTGCCAACCATTCACTTTAAAGAAATACTTTTTATTCTGAGCTCACTTTCTGTTTAGAATGAGTAAGCATTTAACATATCTAATTTCTTTTCAGGCACAAAATCTGCTAAAAGAAAGTATTCACATGACTTTGAATTAGTGCAATACACTTCTAACAGTAAATATACAAAAGACATGAAGGTATTCTAGACATTTATTTTTCAGTGTACAGTATCATATATTTAAAATAAAGAAGGCCCAAACATCATAAAAGATGTGTATGGTGTTTGCCAGACAAATACTTGACTAAGAACAAAGCATATTCTAGCCCACACTTCATGGACTTACAATTAAGTTCGGGCACATAAACAGGAATATTTATTGTTTAATGATTTACAACTCTTTCGGCCTGTTTAACAGAAAATGAACCAACTGAAGCAGAACTCCATCATTAAAGCCTTTCACACTACCATCTTCCACAACATCATACAATGGCTTACTGTCTGTACCCCAACAGATATTCTTCCGAGGGTTATTTTGAATAGTTTCTACAGTTAGTGCTAAAGTATTTAGCTGGTAACAAAAGAAAGCGAAGTATTTTCCATCAGTCACTACTGCCTGTGATACAAAAGGACGGGTCACATCTGCTTCACTCCAGAATCCTACAAAATAAAAAAACAACACTAGTTGTACAAGACTTGAAATTCCTATCAGCACATACATCTAAACCCCAATCATGAAACACAGAAAATTACTGGGAATTGTAGCAGCCACTTAGTAGGGGAACAAGTCCTGTCTGCTTTAGTAACACAAGCATTCTTCATATAGACATAACTAAAATGCAACCACCAATTAATGATTTCTAAGATCAGGGACAGAGCGGCATATTTGCATTTTGTACACAGTTCGCTATCACTGACTGCTAAAAACCCCACACTGATCAGTCAAGTGACTTTTCAAAATTATGTAAGTTACTAATGAATCCAAGTCTCACAAGTGATCTGAGGAGAAATGTCTTTTGCTATTCCAGGCTTCTCACAGGGCAGTGAACATTTGTTTCAGGATAGAAGCATGTGTATGTACACGAGCATAACTGACTATAGTAACCAGACAATACCATGAACACTATACCAATAAGTATTAATGCTTCAGATCACTCCCACTGAGCATTAATAGCCTTTTAAAAATATTTTCTTTACATATTTATGCATGTGTGCTAGCACAAACAGCAATAACACTACTAGAAACTGTTCCAGAACAAAGAAAAAACATCATAGATTTGAACCATGCTGTCCTTATAACTCATAATGTGCTTACAACTCTCACCAGCTTTGAAGCCAAGACTTACTTGACTTCAAGGTTTTATGTCCACAAAAAAAGTCAAGCTTTCTAACATACCATTACCTAAAAAATCTAATGCAGAGCCAGCAATAGACATCATAGTCAAAGGATTTTCTTCAATGTGTTGTTTCACAAGTGAAACTACAAACGAGCAGGCATCTTCCAGTAACACTAGATAACCATTGTATTCACATGAGTAAGCAAAAGACTGATCTGGTTTACCCATCCACGTCTTCTAGGATTTTTAGACAAACATAGCATAAAATCCTAAAGTAAGGCTGTTGACATTTTCTTCCAGTAACTGCAGTTTCATAGAATTGACATCTCTGAAACAAGGGGCTAATCAACACAGTTGTTTCAGAAATAAACAAACTGCTTGGTATCTACAACCTTTCCCCATAACAAATGTGGAATGAGCACGTGAATGCAGGATTGACGTTTTCACACAGGCGAATAAAATATATATGAAAAAATTAATTCTCCCTGAGACAAAGTACTCAAAGACAAAATCTTAACTCTTAACTAACTCCCTTGTATAAGGCCTGCTTCATTCATTGATTCAATTACATTTTCACAGACCTACTTAAAGGATGGTCTTCAGAAGAAAAGGCATGAGAGTAAGGTTGTAGGGAGAAAAGGTTAGAGAACTTCAGGCATTCATCATAAGAATTTACCAAGTTGACTGTCTCACCTTGATACATTGCTTGTGCCGCTGTCCAGGCAAAGAGACTTGCAATACCATTAGCTCGATAAAGAACTTCAATCTGATCCTCAAGATGTGCTCTTACAAACCTCTCCCGGTTTAGTTTATCAGGAATAAGATGAAACTGAGTGTGTCCATAACAGCACGGATCTGCTACCTTTGATCCTGTGTTCCCCAAAATGAAAAAAATTAAGTCAGAGAACGTTCTTTATTATGCATGCAAACACATCTTCACTATCAGGCTCCAAACAATAGAAGATTAGAAGCTGTAACTGCAGAGCTGTAAAATGTTGAGACTACTCCATTTCAGAGTGAGACTGGAGGGTCTTCGCAACTGCAAAAGGCAAGAGTTCACATACTAAAACATCTCTGAGGAGATGTATCAAAATTCACATTTCTTATTCAACCCAACTCCTTCAAGTAAATCTGGACACAGAGTACCATATGCACAAGAAGATGTTACTCCCCATTGCCTAACTGACATAGAATCTCAATAGAGATTTAAATACTATATATATTTATACAGTATAGTTATATGTAGAAGTATACAAATGTTTTTTTCTGTCAATGGGAAGAGAAACGTCAGGGTGGTGGTGTTTGTTTTGGGTTTTTATTGAAAAAAAAGTAGTTAACGTTTCATGCTAGAAACTTACCTATAAATACCTTGTTTTCATACTGCTTTTTGAACAACGGCAGTTTGGATGGTTTGTGGTCAATAATGGGAACATCTCCAAGATCTGACTCCAGTGGTACAATCTTGCAGGATGTAAAGGAAAGAAAAGCCATGATTTAAGTCATATTTCTGACATCAGGCCTCACATAGTATGCCACTTTCTGGTCAGACAGCAAAAGGTGCAAGTCTTGCTTACATACACCATATAAATAACTTCAATGGAAATTAATTTTTTGCAACGGAACTTCTTGTCTTGTAGTGAGTGCTAGTACATGCATCTTATGTTTGAATTTTCTGCAATATACAAAAAACATTGTGTGAAATGGTGCAAACAAAGCTGCCAATTGGCATTATCTTCAGAACCAGAATCTGCTTCTGTAGAACATGAGCAAAAACATTTCTAGCCGTAGTCACTAAACTAATTTGAACCACCAGAGTGAGTTTATAGGTATTCAATATTTTCCACTATGTAACATTTTTAATTCCCTAGACGGTTCTTCCAAAATGCGAAGGTTTGTAACATCTGACAGTACTAACCTAAGGAAATTGTACAATTAAGTTAGCAAGAAATGTTCAGCATTTACAGAAAGTAGAGCACATTTTTCTGTTTGTGGTGGAAACTCAGCAAGACAGACCCTCACAGGCTACACAATTACCATTGTGTAAATCTACAAGAAAAAGATTAGAATACTGAATCAGCTTCCAGAAAACTAAGCATTCAAGAAAACAACTGTTAAGCAGTACTAACAGGTGACAGAGCCCATGCTCAGACTATACATGCTCTCTCATACTCCATTCTTTTCTTCTCCATTTCTCTCATCTTATTGTTCTCCACTGAGGAGAGAACGTTCCACGCCACATTTCTTATTCTTGCCTCCATAAAATGAACTAAAAACTCCATATTAAGTGTAACAATGTGCATTTCATCTAGTGCACAAAGATGACCAACCTGAAGTTCAGAAGACTGTCTCAGTATCTAAAAAGCAGTTACCACAAGGTAGTAAGCGCAAGACTTGAAAAATGCACAAGTGTGCTACATGTCTGATTAACCAGGTCCTACACATACTACCTATCGCATAGTTTCAGCGGCTCTCAGAAACGTAAGTGAAAATGCATGTGATTAACTTGCTGTTGAAAATATCCACACCTCAGGAAGCTGCTTTGGTACACGGATCTGGAGGTGCGGCTTATCATCTATCTGAAATCGCACAGGATCAACTCTACCCTTTCGATACCCATGAACAACAACTTCCTCGCCATGATGCCAGTAATAGTTAACTTCGGGTTTTAGATCTGAAACAGAACAGAGAGATACAAAAAAAGAGAGATCAATCTTCTGCATCTAAACCCCTCCCAATTTCTGTTCTGTAGCTATAGTAAAACAGAAAAATCAAAATCCACTTGCACCATGTGGGATGACGGAGACGAGACTAGTGATGGTCTGAACAACTCAGCTACACCAGTGACGCTCCTGCCGGGTGCACAGATCGGCCCCACCGCCCAAGGGCTCCCACCTTCCTCTCCCTCCCACCCCCGTTCCGCACCAAGGGAGGAGGCAGCCAGCAGCGGGTTGCGACCGGACAGGAAAGCAGCGAGGGTGGAAACAAGCTGCGTAAGGAACGGGCCGGGCGTATGATCCTGATCGCGGTAGAGGAACGGCCGCTTCTTATTCTGGTAGAAGCTCTCCTGCAGGAGAGCGTCGCAAGCAAGGGAGCGCAGCTCGCCCATATCCAGGCACGGCG